TTTAAATTGGGGTATTTTAAATTTTTGGGGTTTTAAATCGGCCAAATCTATTTAATTATTTTAATTTTTAATCATTGTTGTGTCTTGTGTTTTTAAATTGGCTGTACACCACCCTGAGTCCTTCAGGAGAAGGGCGGTATAGAAATAAAATTATTATTATTATTATTATTATTATTATTATTATTATTATTATTATTTATTATTATTATTATTATTATTATTACTATTATTATTATTATTAATTGAACATATGGCTATATAAATGCGTTATTGCCCTTATACCTGTGATTGCAGGGCAGTGGTCACACTTTCTAAACTATGTTGATAGCTCTTAAATGGATAAATGACTTGTGACATAATAAGGAAATAGATTATATAGTGAAGGGTAAATAATTTCCTAATTGATACTCATGCTTGTACTCTCCAGAAATGTTGAACTTTAACTCTCACAATGCAGACAAAGTTTAATTCAAGTTAGGGAAGACTGAGTATAAAAAGATCTTTTGCAGCAAATTTTCACTTTTACTTGTTGCACCAGTCCCAAGTTCTCTTCATTATTACATATGCATGAGTTTTATTACCGGCTCATCACCAGTAACAATTCAAAATTGTCATCTAATTGTTCACCCACTCTTCCATATTCAGCATATTTTTTGTAAACTTTGGACTCTACCAAGTTGTCAGAATGCACAGGAAACTGAAACTTGATCACTAGGTTTCTGCAAAGCTATAAACCTGATTCCCATTTCTGATTAGATAGATTGTTAAAAGAGCAACGTAGCTAATTCTAAAACCGTTACAATTTGAATATTTTTATTTCATCTGTTTACAGTGTAATTACTGTCCTCAGGCTTTCTTCTCTTTTTTGCTTGCTTTTATAAAGTTTTGTTGGCTGTCTAGCTTTCAGCATTGTATCTTTTTTTTCAGGCACATTTTCCTCCCAGAGGATTAAAAGAAATTAGACAGAACACAGCTTGATCTAGTGTTTATTCCAGTTGTAGTGGAATGAGATTGGCTTTCCAGTGAAATTCATGATTACTGTAAATTATTTTACATCCTATATCAAAACACTGAAATTAAGGAAATCCTAAGGTCTCTCTCTCTCTCTCTCTCTCTCTCTCTCTCTTCTCTCTCTCTCTCTCTCTCTCTCTCTCTCTCTGTGTGTGTGTGTGTGTGTGTGTGTGTGTGTGAAAATCTACAGGATGGCAAATATCCTAAAGGAATAGGGTGTCTGTCATTATGCTGATGAATCATGATGACCCGCAACTTGCACACTTTGATATTATTATTATTATTAATTGAACATATGGCTATATAAATGCGTTATTGCCCTTATACCTGTGATTGCAGGGCAGTGGTCACACTTTCTAAACTATGTTGATAGCTCTTAAATGGATAAATGACTTGTGACATAATAAGGAAATAGATTATATAGTGAAGGGTAAATAATTTCCTAATTGATACTCATGCTTGTACTCTCCAGAAATGTTGAACTTTAACTCTCACAATGCAGACAAAGTTTAATTCAAGTTAGGGAAGACTGAGTATAAAAAGATCTTTTGCAGCAAATTTTCACTTTTACTTGTTGCACCAGTCCCAAGTTCTCTTCATTATTACATATGCATGAGTTTTATTACCGGCTCATCACCAGTAACAATTCAAAATTGTCATCTAATTGTTCACCCACTCTTCCATATTCAGCATATTTTTTGTAAACTTTGGACTCTACCAAGTTGTCAGAATGCACAGGAAACTGAAACTTGATCACTAGGTTTCTGCAAAGCTATAAACCTGATTCCCATTTCTGATTAGATAGATTGTTAAAAGAGCAACGTAGCTAATTCTAAAACCGTTACAATTTGAATATTTTTATTTCATCTGTTTACAGTGTAATTACTGTCCTCAGGCTTTCTTCTCTTTTTTGCTTGCTTTTATAAAGTTTTGTTGGCTGTCTAGCTTTCAGCATTGTATCTTTTTTTTCAGGCACATTTTCCTCCCAGAGGATTAAAAGAAATTAGACAGAACACAGCTTGATCTAGTGTTTATTCCAGTTGTAGTGGAATGCTCAGATTGGCTTCCAGTGAAATTCATGATTACTGTAAATTATTTTACATCCTATATCAAAACACTGAAATTAAGGAAATCCTAAGGTCTCTCTCTCTCTCTCTCTCTCTCTCTCTCTCTTTCTCTCTCTCTCTCTCTCTCTCTCTCTCTCTCTGTGTGTGTGTGTGTGTGTGAAAATCTACAGGATGGCAAATATCCTAAAGGAATAGGGTGTCTGTCATTATGCTGATGAATCATGATGACCCGCAACTTGCACACTTTGACACTTCACACAAATACCCCAGATTGATTTCAACACTATTTTTGGAAATAATGTTGTTTTAGCAAGTAATTGCTATAATGCTGCCAATACAAAATAAATTATGTATGTTGTGATTTCTTCTAGGTTTGATCAGTCCCCACTTATTCTTTTTTCAATGGATGGCTTTAGGGCTGAATATTTGGAAACCTGGGATACTTTAATGCCCAATATTAATAAGCTTAGTAAGTAATCTCACTGTTTTAAGAAGATTTATAATGAATGATAATTTTCTGCAACTTGAAAGATGCAACAAACTTTCACAGGATGGAGTGTCCTGCATAAGATATTCTGCGCAATCATTCCTTTCCTTCCTAGAGCAGTTGAATTGATTACCTATAATTACACTGAATGGAAGTTGTCTTATTTCATTCTTATGCCCTCATCAAACACTCTTTGTTTAAGGACTGTTTCTGCTTATTGATATTGTGGTGGGGGTGGGGATGCCTCCAGGAAAAACCCATTCAAGTTTGTGCTAAAATTTCTTGTCCTTTTCCAATTGGACTGAAATGTTTTGACTAAAGTAAGGGGTGTGTGTGTGGGAGATGTGAAAAATCCCTCGATATAAAAATGGGTCTTTCTCACTTTATATGTCTTATTTGATTGTAGAAACTTGTGGGACTCATGCCAAATACATGAGAGCTGCTTATCCAACCAAAACCTTTGTAAACCACTACACTATTGTTACAGTAAGTATTTGCTTGGTCATTTACCATATACATTTTATTTGCTATATGAATTTCTTCCTGTCCTTCAAAGATAAGAAATTAAACAATATGTTTTGCATTGGGCGTTTCCTCAAACGCCCAATGCAAAAAAAAAAAAAACTACAAGCAGCAGCAAAGTAGAACCAGTTGAAATGACAAGCTTTTTTACTTCATTTCTCTAAATTCCATCTATGAAAAATTGGTGGTCAGAATGACTTTCACGTTCTTTTTATGGGAAGCAAGAATGGGATGCTCCTGAAGTGCATTTGTGTAGTCTGGGAAGAGATACTTCTTGTAATCCTTTCTGTAGTTGAACACAACCAGAGAGAACCAGATTGGGAGACGCCCCCATTTTGAATTCTGAGATAATATTATGAACACTTTCAAAAAAATGTCTACCACTATGGCTTATAGTCATTCACATCAATTTGCTGAAATACAAACATGTGATACCTCTTCGTTCTAGCCCTCCAGATTCTTTGTATCATTAGCAATTACTTTTTTTCTTTGCTCTATCCAAGTAGGCCTACATCTAATCTACATGTTGGTCATAAATCATTAGTGTTTTCTAAGTATGCTCCGGAATTCTAGTGAGACTCAGAGGCATGCTTGAAAATACAGTTTTACGTTATATGCAGAAAACTGTTTTTTTCTGCAGGTAATATGCAATTTATAATTATTAAATTTTAAATTTGTAATTTTTAAAAATGAATGAGATATGAGCATTCTGGGCATTTGGAATATTTACTAAATTAACAAACATTGACTTTTTACTAAATATGTATTAGATCCACAGTTACAAAGTGATAGTAAAGAGGAAGAAAGATATCAGTGCCATGCAAATGTAGTAATACAAACAAATTAGCAGAAGGCAAATAAAGCTGACACAATAATATCTAATGTTTCAGTTTGGTATGCCCTAATTTAGAATGTCAACCGGGTATTATCTTCTCTAATAAACCTGTTTCCATTTCTCTACTAGCTTTCTGGTTTCCTTACCACTCCCCCGCTCCCAAAAAAGATGTGCTTCTCCAGATGGATTCATACCTCTTTTTTGTAGATGGACTTTGGCTTAAATGTTAGCATTCTGAGAACTAAATTCACTGTTAGTATAGTGGATTCTGCAATAACTCTGGATCTTGTATAGCAGTGATGGCGAACCTTTTACTTACTGAGTGCTGAACAAGAACGCGCTCCATGCCCTGCGCGCACTCGCGTGCCATCCATGGTAACATGCGGCTCCTCCCCATGTGCTGCATGCGCAACTGCATCATCTGAGTATGTGCACAGCTTTCACATGCACCCCCACCATGCACTGTGCAAGCAACCGCACCATCTGCGTATGTGTGCAGCTCTTGCGCATGAGCACTCTCACCATATGGGCATGTACACAGCTTTCACACATGCAATGCACACATGCAAATACTGTCTGCGCATGCACGCACAATCTTGCGTGCATCCACAAACATGTGCGCATGTGCAGGAGAGCTCCAAAGACCAGCTGGGTCCCCTGAATTACATGCATGTGCACCAGAGGCCTGAACACCAGCTGGGGCGCGCGCACATGCACAGTTTTAGGTGAGCTTGGCGATGGCTCGCGTGCCTGGAAAAATGGCTCTGCGTGCCACTTCAGGCACGCGTGCCATAGGTTCGCCAACATGGTTATATGGTGTACCCATGGGCATGAAATAGAACAGGGTATTGAGGGGTTAACTGCCAGTAACTGTTTTTGAACTTTGTTGATGTTTAATAAATAAACAGCAAGTTATATTTTTGCTAGTTACACGGAGCTTGCTTGCTGCTTTAATACAGATTAAATTGGAAACTATCCACACTAATTTCCCAACAATATTATCTTCTAATAGCTTCTATTACTAGCTAGTAATAGCTTCTATTACTAATTGAATAGTAGTCAATAATCACTAACTTCATTAGAAGGGACCAGGCAAGTCTCTTTATTCAGCAATAGGGAATGGTAAATTAGATGATTGGCTAGTTTCAATAACTTAACCAAACTTTGAATCACTATGACTGTCCTTCAACTTGTTAAAATTAGGCATGACCCAAGAATGTGACATGGTTGATTTGACTATAAATGCCATGAAGCTTGGAACTTTATAAATCACAATTTTAAACTATACAAATAGAATCCTGGTTCTTGCTCAATTCTTGAATTAGTGAAATTGAAAAAACTGTGTAAAAAGTTGATCTGTCAAAAAAAAGAGAGAAAGGAATGTTATATGGCTTTACTAGCTTGATAGTGGCTCCCAGTGCAAAAAAGCTCTGCCATCTTTTGAAGATTGATAAGCCCATCTCTATTTAAAAATATTTATAGGGCTTTGTTGCATATGCCAGCCAATATATGGGAGGATCATTTGTTACCTTATATAGTCAAGTGGAAATTTCGGGTTGGTGTGAACTGTCATTTTGGCTTCTAGTCTCATGTCCAGAAAACAGAAATGTAATTAAACAGCTTAGACCAGGAAAATTGCCAGGTTTAAATCTTATTACATATGAAGTAATAAAATAATTTGGAATGGTAGATCTTGCCGGTGCTAGCTTCCCAACAATAGATTGTTTAATCAGATCTACAAATGCCTGCTAAATGTTTACAGAATAAATTAATTTACTGGATTGAATCTGAAGACATTTTAATAGATGAACAGGCAAGGTTTAGAACAGATCAATCAAAATTAGACCGTGCTATGGTGCGGCAATGCCTAGTTTCATAAGTTTATTGATAAATCTAGACAGTTCCTTTATGCAACGTTTATTGACTTTAGGTTCACTTTCACCATGTTATCCAGATTTAAATGGTGGCATAAATTAAAAAAATACCTCATAGTCAAATGTCTACTTTTGTTGCTCATTAAAATATATAAGAATATCAAACTGAAGATCAGGTATAGCAATCAAGGACAAGTCATAAATGAAATACCAGTAAAAAGGGGAGTTACAGGGATGTGTATTGGCTCCAATTTTATCCAATTACTATATAAATTCATCAGTTTCTCACTTAAGTAACTTTACCTTTCATCCTCCTAAATTAGCCCATAGACATATCAATTTATTATTGCATGCTGTTGATTCATACAGTATCATTGGCATCAGTACTGACTTCTATTAGCCTTAAAAGAGCCTTGAGATCAATCTATCATTATTGTACAGAGAAGGAACCAGTAATAAATTATTCCAAGATTCTCGCTTTTGCCAAATGCCAAAGAGATGCTGGAACTTAGGTGGGCAATCCTTTGAGTGGATTAAGAGCTTTAAATATTTAGGAATTAGTTTTTAAACTTCAGGAAGCAAAGATGTCCACCTGGATTATTTATCTCACAATGCACAGATATCTGCATCGACTATTTAACCATTATTTTTCCAGAGGATCACAGTTTATCCTTCCTGCAATTAAGTTGTTTGCAGCTAAAGCCTGAGCACTATTGCTACATGGGACTCAACTGGGAACATATAACAACATGATTAATTTAGAAAGAATTCAAACAAAAAAATTGAGAAGCATTTTCCGGGTTACCAGCAGTTCTTTGGGAAACTGGAGTCAATAAACTTGAATCCAATCTACAATATCCAAAATATATATTTTTACCTACTGGCTAAAACCATACCACAGTTCTAGTGATATAGTTGTATAGTAGTATAGACTGACCCATTTATGCTGGTAGACCATTTCAAATCTTAAAAAACTATCCAAAAGAAACTGAGTCATCATGGCTTTTCGAGTGATGCCTTCTTATGTAAGCCAAGACCACCATACCTGGGCTACAAAAGCAAGATCAAGCAAGATTAATATTAGGGCAAAAGATCTTAGATATAGAATGCCTACCAGAAATTGCTGCTTTTCTCACAATATAATTGTAAACAAAACCAATTTTTAGTGCCTAAACCAGTTTCCTATTCCTTTCACATCATAGTCCCTAATTTCAGGGTAAATGTGATGCTGTAACCTTTGTAAGTACATACCAGTTGCCAAGCATTCAAATTTTGAACACATGACTACAGAGATGCCACATCGGTTGCAAAATTCAATCATAAGTGTTGTGTTCGGCGGCCCCGGCAACCGGGGACGCCACCCCGTGATTGGCCAAGAGGCGTGGCCTCCCTAAAGCGGGAGTATCTGTGGTTGCTGATTGGTTATCGTTTGACAAGCTAAGGAGCATAAATAGGCTGTCAGTTCTCCTCAGCCTGGTTCGTGTTTTCTCAACGCCTGTTGCTGTTTAATAAAGTGTTCTGTTTAAACGCAACCTCGTCCTAATTCATGCCTGAACGAACTATTTAACAATAAGTAATTGTTGTAACTTCAAACAGTTGCTAAAACAATGGTTGTATGTCGAGGACTACTTGTATTCATTTCATTGTTGAATTGCTTTCACAGAGCACTTGTGATTAAGGAAGGTTGGGATTTTTAATTATGTGGAAAAACTTTTATGAATGGAGGAACTTCTCCAGCATGACCAGTTGCCTGCTGAACATGGAGGAGGGTGCAAAAGGACTGTGTCATTTGCACACACTGCACTTCTTCTGAATATAATTAGAATATCATCATTTTGTATAATGTCTGTAGGCGGTGTATGTCTTTAAGAAGACATTTAACTTCTGAAAATCTAAAGACTTTCTACTCTTGATGTGTAGCAAAAGTAGAAAGAATAACAGAGTTGGAAAGGATCTTGGAGATCTTCTAGTCCAACCCCTGCTCAAGCGGGACACCCTATACCCGTGATGGCGAACAAGTGGCATGCAGAGCCATTTCTGTGGGCACACCAGCATTGCCCTAGCTCAACTCCAGTATGCATGTGTGCGCTGGCCAGCTGTTTTTTGGGCCTTCCGGGCCCACAAAAAGCCAGGAAATGGGCGATTTCTGGCCTCCGGAGGGCCTCTGGTTGGGTGGGGAAAGCAGTTTTTGCCCTCCCCAGGCTCCATGAAAGCCTCTGGAGCCTGGGAAGAGTGAAAAACAGGCCTACTGGACCCACCGGTAACCTTTTTGCCATCGTGTGCCAAAAGAGGGGGACTGCAGGGGAGTCACGCACTTATGCATGGGTGGGCATAGGGGGCATTGAATTATGGGTGTGGGCACGCGCGTGCACAACCTCCCCCACGTTCCCCCCATTTTTGTCACACGAAGTGTCAGCAGTGCACTCCAATAGCACCAATAGCAATAGCACTTAGACTTATATACCGCTTCACAGTGCTTTACAGCCTTCTCTAAGCTGTTTACAGACTCAGCATATTTGCCCCCAACAATCTGGGTCCTCATTTTACCCACCTTGGAAAGATGGAAGGCTGAGTCAACCTTGATCCCAGAAGAAATGTTAAAAAGCTCATTTATCTGCACTAATATGTATATTTTTTCCTCAGGGCTTGTATCCAGAAACCCACGGCATCATTGACAATAATATATATGACGTACATTTAAATCAGAACTTCTCACTTTCTGGAAGTAACATGAGAAATCCTGCCTGGTGGGGTGGACAACCTGTATGTACCTTTAGTTCTGTTCCTTGGTGTAGATACTGTATACTTGATTTTCCAATAGCAAATTCTATTGTTATATTGAAATAACAGTAATGCAAACAGACTTCACATATAACTTCAAGGCAGCAGGGTGATGCTATGAAGAAGATGTAGTTCCTTAGTAGGGAAACGGAAATAGGGAAGGTCCTTGTGTAAAAAAATCAACGTGGCTTTATAGAATTCAGTTTTGATTGGCCCATAGTAAAGCACATTTAGTTTCTAAAAATTGCTGATGAGTGAGTACAGGCAGTCTTGGATTAAGAATGATTTTAACCAGAATTTGCATTTAAATGGGAACAGATTACCATACCTGTACTTCTGCATATCAGGGATCAACAACAGCATCAAAGTTGTAAGCAAAGTTATTTCTAAAGTTTGAATGTATAAGTTTCATATTTTAAAACTAGGTTATGGGCAAAACTGACTTCCAGCAAAGAGAATCCAATTCAAGAAAAACTCCTTGGAATTCAATCTCTCACCGTCCAAATTTTGGACATATGACTGTTGAGATGCTGCAACCGTTGCAAAGATCAGTCATAAATAACTATTGTAACTTCAGTGAAGGCAAAAATGATCTGACTCAAAATGGTGGACAGCATTTTCCTTCCTTGAGCAGTCAAATTTCTGAAGCTGCACAATACATTCATGAACTCCTGCTGCATGCTGTATTTGATTTAATTCTGTTTTAATTTATTTTAATTTTTATATTGTATGTATTTTAATCTTGGCTGTTCACTGCCCTGAGTCCTTCGGGAGAAGGGCGGTATACAAATTTAATAAACCTTAACCTTAACCTTAACCTTATTAAAAACGCACACACTACTTTGTGATGCTCATGAAAGCATAGCACAGCTTTAACACTTCATTGGTTCAAGGAAGGAGAATGCCATCCACTATTTTGATTCAGATCATGCTGCTAATAACTTTCTGGCATTTTAATTATTGTAACAGGTTAACTCTCTCCCATTTTGTAACAGACAGCCCTATTAGTATCTAGAACAGGGTCCTCAGACTTGGCAGCTTTAAGACTTGTGGACTTCAACTTTCAGAATTCTCCAGCCAGCTATGCTGGCTGGAGAATTCTGGGAGTTGAAGTCCACAAATCTTAAAGCTGCCAAGTTTGGAGACCTCTGTTCTAGAGGTTCTCTTTAAATTTGACATTCTTAATCTGGGGAGTGCCTGTAGAGACCTTGAGACATGAGGTTTTATAGTTTGCTCATTTTTTAAGATACTGATTCTGTGCACACTTCTTGCAGATTTGGCATACAGCAACCTATCAAGGTTTGAAAGCAGCCACCTACTTTTGGCCTGGATCTGAAGTAAAAATAAATGGATCTTACCCAACCATATACAAAGTTTATAACAAGTGAGTTAAAGATGAAAAAAATAAATTGGTTCTATCAGCTACAGATTTCTTTATGGGAATATACTTTTTTAATCAATAGGACACCTGAAGTGCGGGAAAATGTATTACAGTAATGGAAAATTGGTACTAAATTGATGTTTCATTCATTTTACAGTTTCCAAATCATTATTTAGTAAGCCTTTACCAAGAATGATATCCTTGAATGAAGCTCAACTACTAATGATTACACAGACACTGCTGTGGTTGATTTGAATGGGTACTTCATTCATGTAGCCATTGAAGGGAAGTATCTCTTCAAAGATCTGCATGGTCCTTTCCATTCCCACACATTAAATAATGTTGGCATTATGAAATCTTTGTATTATAAATACATAAAGGGAACATATATCAGGCTGGGTTTGAAGAATGTGAGAGGGACACTTTTCATTCTTCTGTCATATGCAACAATTGCCTAAAAGATGGTTGGCACCTTTTTTCAGTCCTCATATTAGCATTAAAATGTTCTGTTGGCTTGAAGGGCATCGGGTAACTGAGAGGGTGTGAGAGAGGCGGCATCTCTCATCTCTGACATCTTGCTACCTCCTGCTGGTTGAGACATTTTCTCACTCTGCTTAATTGAAGGGTCAGCCTTCAGCTTAAATCTGCTAGGAAAAATACAGCTTCTATTCTACTTTATTCAATGGGCTTTCCATCTCAATACTGACATGCTTATAATTCCAATGTAATTGTTTTATAAATATTGCATGATGTAGAATACTGAATATACTAAGTGGTGATATTATTTTGGTGAGAAATTCATATTTCAGGCCACTGAGGATGGACTCAAAATGTCTCTGGTTTGCTTTGACATTTTAAAACCATTTTTCAGCTCCTTCCTGCCATGTTCTGCTGACCCCATCCCAAACAAGAGGACAGGAGAGCCACATGAGAAGAGTATTTCATGCCTTGAATATTGCAGGAAATTGGAACGGATTATGTTTTTGCTTTGGCCTTTTTTGTATATGTTACTTTTACTCTTACTAGAGTATTTACATTCGATTCATGTTCACATTGCAACACAAAGTCTACCTAGCTGAGGCTTTGCGTTTGCAATTATCAACTTGGTTTTTGTTTTATAAAAGCATTTGTACAGAATGACGTCTGTCGCTCACAAAAAAATTAACCAGTATTTCATAATGGGAAGGTTGGAAAGTGCTGATTGTCTTACTATCAGCATAAAAACATGTTGTTGACGTGTCCACTAAAACAAAGTTCTCCTTGTCGCCCTGATGCTTTCTTTCTAAATAATATTTTTATTTCTTGTAGATCAATTCCATTTGAAACAAGAGTTATGGAGGTGCTAAACTGGCTAGATCTCCCCAAAGCTGAAAGGTAATAGCCACGAAAGCTTATGAAACAAATTCTCTGTTCTTATAAAATGCTAAGCAAGGCAGCTACCATATTTTTCAGAGTATAAGATGCACCTTTACCCCCCCTAAAAGGGGTGAAAATTTAGCTGTATTTTATACACCGAATGTAGCCCTGCCCACCCACTGGTCCCCACCTTTTGGCTTCTGCCTTGCAGCAGTTACCTCCTTGCAAGCAAACAGCAAGGAAAAAACAGCTCCTTTCAGCTTCAGCACAGCCTAATTAGCACAAGTTGATTGGATCAGCCTCCTGACTTTCAGCTGATTTGCTCTTAGCTGTTTTGCACAGGGCTCTGCTGCTTGCTGCAAAGAGGTAAATTGCTGGAGCAGATTTTTTTTCCTTGTGCTAATCAAGCTGTGCTGAAAACAAAAATGAAAGTAAAGCAGGCTGTTTGCTGCAAGGAGGCAAAATTGCACAGAGGCAGAGGCAGAGGAGATTTCTTTTTCTTCTTTTCCTCACCAAAAAGGTAGGTGCGTCTTATAGTCCGGTGCATCTTATACTCCGAAAAATACGGTAATTATATGCTGTCAACTAAGAAGCATGGTTTCACTTACTGTCATCTGCTCCTCCCCCCAATTTTTAAATCTTTAAAAATTAAATGTTGCCATCTTTTTGCATCTCCTCTGAGGTGACTTCAGCTGAACTGCAAAAATCTGCTAATCACTGGATGGCAGAAAGATATACCAAAACCTGTAACCTCCTGCCATCTTGTAGTTATCCAGATTTTTGCCCATTCTTCCATTTCCAGAACTGACACCAGAATGAGAGAAA